TAAAAAGTGAGAAAACTAACCAGTCAATTATAGCTGAATGACTAGAGGTTATTTCAAATGTGAAAACCAGACTCATAATCCAAAATTCCAACTATTACTTTAAGATTATCAGATCCCTTAGTAGTTTTATACAATGATGTGTTAAATTATTTATCTTATTTACTAAATGAATGGGATAGACAAGGATGCACAATGAATTTTTATAATGAGTTAGGCACAGCCCAAAATAAAACTGAATATTGATGCTATAACACTGAATAAAAAGAAGAAATATCATTTAGTGAAACCTTAGGAATTGAGATTAATGTGGAATGGCCATTCTGAGAAGATATAAAGACATTTGTGTGTTGTTGTTTTTTTAAAGCAATATCATTACTCTAATTTATATGTAATATCCTGACTGGGCTAGGCTAACAAAACTGTTGTCCCTCATATGATATACTTTAGTGAATGAAAAAGTACTTATAATCAGGTTCATAGTAGTTTAATCACTTCTCCAATAAATTTATTTATAAGCCTAACAACACACTTCTTTGCACTGGATGAGAGACAGTAAGAAGGCTAGCTCCATGTCCACATTATTAAATTTCAAACTAGTGGCATCTGTATCAATAATTCCAAGTTCTTCAATAAATAGTTTAACACACAACAAGAACAAGTTCATCTGTGTGTGATGGGCTAGTGATGAAGGAGGTCATTGAGAAGAAAGACCCAAAAAAGGAAGAGAGGGAAAGCAGTACAAAGTGGAGAATAAGAGGAAAAAATATATTTAGCTGCATGTTTCTAGGAAAATAATTTCAGTCCATTATTATGATTAAGTGTCAAAGAGTGACCAACCACAGCTATTGGACTTCTTTCTCCCAGGGTGCTATAAAGATAGGGAAATTAATGAAATCAATATTCTTTACTGCTCACCTGCCATAAACTTTAAGTAACCCTGGATGAGACTGTGTCAGTAAACCTCTAGCATAGTCATTACAAGCATGGGCTCATGAGCCAGACTGCCTAGGAACAAAAGTATTTTACCATTCTGTACCTGTTTCTCATCAGAAAAAAATGAGAATAGTACCTACTTTATAGGGTGGTTGGAAGAATGAAAACTGTTTTTTAAATATATTTTTTGTTGATTTGAGAGAGGAAGAGAGAGAGAGAAAGAGAGAGAGAGAGAGAGAGAGAGAGAGAGAGAGAGAGAGAGAGAGAGGGAGATAGAAACATTAATGATGAGAGAGAATCATTGATTTGCTACCTCCTGCACACCTAGCATGTCTTGCGATCTCCTGGTTCACGGGTCGACACTAAACCACTGAACCGGGCAATGTAAACAGAGGTTTAGAAACAATATACTTATAACAGTATCTGACACATAATAAAGCCATATAAGTATTATTATTGTTATTATTATTATTTTTCTAATGCTGTAGCATTTCAAATTTTTAAAAATTGAAATTTTTTCATCATATACCTTGATCACTATTTTATCCCTTCAAACCTAGGGTTTCCTGATCAGAAATGTCAGTTATTTGATCTTCAGATTGCTGGTAACATGAGGGATTTGCTTATTAAAAAAAAAATCCATGTAATCATCTGGAGTTAATATGGATCAATCTGTATTTTGTTATTGAGTAGTTTCATTGAAATCCCTCACTAGCTATCCCAATCAAGCTAAACCACATTCATGCTGGGCTTTTATAAATACTTGATTGAGATCATTTACATACCATAAAGAGCACCTGTTTAAAGTATATAATTTAATGTTTCTTAGTAAACCTACAGAGTTGTGCAACCATCACCATAATCTAATTTTAGAATATTTTCATTCCAAAATGAAATTTTATACCCATGATCAGTCCTTCCCCATCTCAACACCCCTTTCCTCCTCTCCTCTCCCCACCCACCCACCCCTCGAGCCATAGGCAACCACTAATTTATTTTCTATCTTTATGGATTTTCCTATTCTGGGTATTTAATTTAACTGGGATCATATATGTGGCCTTTTGTTTCTGACCTCTTGCATTTATAATGTTTTCAAGTTTAGTCCACCACATTGTAGCATATATCAGCATTTCATATCTCTTTATGGCTGAATAATACTCTCTAGCATAGATATACTACTATTCGCGTTTATCTACTCATCAGTTGATGGGCATCTGAGTTGTTTCTGCCTTTTCATTATTGTGAATAATGTTGTGAGGATGATATGGCAATTCTATGTTTTGCTTTTGAGGAACTGTCCAATTATCTTCCAAAGGAGCTACACCATTTTACAGTCTCTCCAGCAATGTATGAGAGTTTTACTTTCTTCACCAACTCTTGCTATTATCTTTTTTATATACTGGGCTTTTTACTTGGGAAAACAATTACTTCTCTTCCAAACCAGCAGTGCCTACTTATTTTTGTGATACCCTTTCATTCTAAGCATTTTTTTTAATAAATTTACAGACTTTACTTTTTAGAACAGTTTTTGATTTACAGATCAATTGAGCAGACAGTAGAGAGAGTTGTCTTGTTTTGAGACAAACAAGATTTCAATCAATGTCCTTAGTCCCTTTAAATATTGTTTCCTTGTATTCATTGACTGAAAGAGTTCCCTTTTTAGTATACCTTCAAAAGACACTGTGGATCTATTTCATATCTGACATGCCCCTAAAAAGATATTTTTCAATCAAAAATTGTAATTCAAACATACAATGGAGAGTTATTACTTAAGGGGACTCTATGGTGAATAATCTTTGTGAAACACTAAATTCTTCATACATGTAAATAATCCCACACAAATGTTATGTGGCAAGAGGCAGATCTTTATGTATTCCCTAAGGCACCCTTACTGCAGAGTATTTCACTATAGAAATGGGTTAATCCTGAGTATCTCAATCAAAATACTCTATCCATCAATAAGTTACGGGAGGGAGGGGGGTGAGGAGGATAATATATTAATGCATGACTAATAATAGGATAACAAATTGTACCAAAAGAGCAAATCAAGTCCTTTAATTTGAACTATCTTCTCATGATTTTGGTTACTATAAAGATAGCAGAGCAGTCCTTAAAACTTTAGTAATTTGGCTAAACACCTCATCAGCTTCAAACTATTTTTCTCCAAATTCCATATTAACAATAATTTACTCTCTTGTCCTCTTTACTCTTATCATTCGTCAGAATATTAGTCTCATTAAGACAACTTCAGGCTGAGTATGTAGTCATCGCTAGTGTCCTCTTTGTTTTTCTGCCCTATTTTATATTGGACTTCCCCAGGCTCAGTACTTGGACTTTTTCTTGTCTGACACTTACTCCCTTGGTGATCCCATTTAGTGTTATGGGTTTAAATATCATATATATGCTGATGATTTCCAAATGTACACTCTCCAGCCCTCTCCCCTGAACTCCACACTTATATGTCTCACTGCCTACTACACATCTCTATTCAAGTATAATAGGCATTTTAAACTTAACGTACAAAACAAAATTATTGCTTGCCTCCCCCAAAAAAACAAACAAAACAACAACCCTATACTACCCGAGTTCTCTCCATCCCTATGGCAATAATGCCCTTCTAGTAGCTCAGTCCTTAGATGATCTTGGCTCTTTTTCTCTTACAACCCACATCCTATCCCTTAGCAAATCATTATTTACTCTTCTTCAAAATATAGGTATTTCAACCCCTTCTCAGAGCTTCTACTGTGATTACCCTCATTCAAACCACCATAACTTATACCGTCACATTAGACTCTGGGTATATGTTCACCTCAGGGCCTTTGCATTTGCTTTAACCTATATTGGATTTTTATCTTACCTCCTATAGATTCCAATCAAATTTGGCTTGCTCAGTGTATGACCTTACTCGAATATTCCTCTTGCCTCTTCCCTGCTTTTTCTACAAAGCATATATCACCCTCCAATGTATTATATATCTACTCATTAATCTTTTGTAGACAACAAGCTACACGAGGCAGAGATAGTTGTTGAATCAATAGTTAACAAGATTAGGTATATCTCCCCAAGCCCCTCAATTTTCCCTTAATAACCTATTCTCTTTTAAAATATATTTTATTGTTTTTTTTACAGAGAGGAAGGGAGAGGGATGGTTAGAAACATCAATGAGAGAGAAACATTGATCAGTTGCCTCCTGCACGCTCCTACTGGGGATGTGCCCGCAACCAAGGTACATGCCCTTGACTAGAATTGAACCTGGAACCTTTCAGTCTGCATGCTGACGCTCTATCCAGTCTTTAAGTTCCATAAAAATAGGGATTCTGTTGATGTTGTTTACTGTTGTGTTCTCAGAACCTAGCACAGTTATATTACTCAGTAAATATTTGTTAATGAATAAATTAATTGATCTGTATGTAAAGATCTGATAAAATGTTTTTGTATTCATGATTAGAAAAGGACTACTTGCCTAATGTTTACAAGTGAGTGGCATTATGACAATGAATAACAGTGGGAAAGCACAATGCACTTAGTCTGTGCTCATAAATATGCTGTAAGAATTCAATCTCCATTTCATAGACACCTTCTCTTTACCAGTCTCTGGAGAATGTAACTTATAAAGAGTTGGCAAAAGAGAAAATAGTAAATGAAGACAAAACCAAAATAATTCTTCCAATAAATATTTTAATGAGAACCAAGGTCTGTAACATATATAGCAATAACTGCCCTGGCCTATTCCTTCTGCTCTCACCCAAGTTTGAGGCTAACAAACTACATTTAACCCACATTTGAAAAGGCCATTTCGAATGTCACCCATCAGTATCCATCTTCATAGAAGATACCAATCTGGTGCCAGAATCTCAATGTTAACACTTCCTCTCAAGGAAGTTAACATGGTAACACAAACAAATGAACATTTTTGTACAATCCTATCTATTGTTCTTCCACCAGGAGGCCGTTGGGAAACCAATGATTCAGTAAACACTCACAACTTTGTCAAAATACATTTGAAGAAGGAAAAGGGAAAAAGAGTAGAAAGGTTGGCAGGGCTTGGCTCACGTGTAATTCAGTCTTTAGATCTGAAGTCTCTTAAGCTGCTCATATGTGATAAAAAACTGAAGAGTAAGTCATGGAAGATCACTGGATTAACACAGAAAGTCAAACCCAGTTAGAAAAGTGTGCATTGCATTCTTAAATTAAGGTACTTAGTTTGTGCTATACTAAGTTGCACTTGCTTAAAAGTCTTTTTAAAAACAATTCCTGGCAAATCAAGCATGTAGTGAATGCCCACCATGTTCCCATTATCTTCATTGGCATTTAGCAGTATAAACAGATTAAAATTCTAACATAAGTGGAGTCTTCAGGGGCAAATAACAGACAACCAAGAACATCAATGGTAACATGTAATTCAGTTCTAGAATAATCGTTTGCAGACATTAAGTAATCAGAACAATCCCAAGGAGGGTGACAAATACTACCTCCCTCAACCTATAGATCTACAAGGGCAGGAAATTACTTTTCAACCAAACAATGCTCACCACTCTACACACACCACCACCCACAGCATCCAGTTCATGACTCTGCATGTAGAAGAAACTCAAACAGTCAAAGGAGGAGATTCACCCCTGAGGAAATAGCCCTACTTGGCCCTAGATTCTTTCACCCTATCGATGTTTCCTGTTTTATTATTTCCCCAGCTGTTTTGGTCCTATAGTTATGGGATAGGAAACATGGATCTCCTCAGCATGGACTTTTCTGTGGGCATTTCCAAGCAGGGTTTCCAAAAACTTCATAGCCCCTTCCAGATTTGGTTGTTATTGTTAGTGCTTTAAAAAAAAAAGATACTTTGCTATGTCTTTTCTAGTCCTTCCAGTTTGTATTGGACTCCAACTGAAAGTAATTTCTTAATTCCATCTTCAATGGTCACTATTAGAATGCTTAGGTTTCTCACTTGCCTAAAAGCTTCAATGATTAAATTTTCCTTCCCATAGCCTAGAATTACCTGGGAGCTTAAAGTATTTGCTTTCAATCTCATGTTCTAAAAGGATACAATGATGTTCCAGGGTCCAAGTCGAAGCCAATTTGGCCAAAATCCTTTATAGAGTGCAAAAAAGCCCTCGTGCTTCCACATCTGAAAGATATAATAAAAAACAGAGTGAATTCCCCTTACTCTTTACATCTGACAATTACTTGTATTTTAATACTCATCTTCCAAGTCCTTCCCCAACAACTCTTGGCTCCATAAATAGTCTTTTTTTTTTCTAAAAACACACATTTGAATTCAAAGGTAATCTAAATAAATCTACCTATTCATTCAACAAATATTTATTGAGCACTTACCATACACAAATGTATTCTTGATGCTGAGATAACAGTAATACTAGCAAACAAGAGAAACAACATATTTGTGGTAGACAGCTACCAAGATAGTCCCCAAAGAAAGCTACATCCAGTTTTTCACTCCCTTGTGTAGGCTCACCCACACATATCAGGATTGGTCTGTGTCTCCAATAGAATAAAGCAGTAGTGAACATATCACTTGCAATGCTTTGTTATAAAAGACTAGAGGCCCAGTGCATGAAATTCGTGCACTCATGGGGGATCTCTCAATCTGAACTATGCCCTCTCATAGTCTGGGAGCCCTTGGGGGATGTCCAACTGATGGCTTTGGTGGGGAGCAGGCCTAAGCCTTCAGTCGGGCATCCTTAGCACTGCCGTGGACATGGGAGAGAGGTTCCTGCCATCGCCCTCTCCCGCCATTGCCGTTGCACTCGCCAGCGATGAGCCCGGCTTCTGGTGCACTGACCACCAGGGGGCAATCCCTGTGTTGAGCATCTGCCCCCTTGGTGGTCAGTGCACACTATAGCGATCAGATGTTCTGCTGTTCAATTTGCCTGTTAGCCTTTTATTATATAGGATGCTTTATATATAAAGTTTCTACCTTGTTCTCTTTTAGATCATTCACTCTGAAGGAGGCCAGCTTCCATGTCATGAAGAGGCCCACATGTGAGAAACTAAGACCTCCTGCCAATAGCCAGAGAGGAAGAGAGGTTTCCTGCTAACAGCCACATGAATTATTTTTGAAGCAGATATCCCAGCCCCAATCAAATAACATTTCATCACTGGTTCATCACTGTAAGTTCTGTGTAATGCTAGGGCCTACCTCATATCAATGCTCTGAGGATCACATGAGGAAAATTGTGAATTCCTTTGAATTTGGGGTTTCCTGTTTCAAAGGTGGTCTGCACATACCAGCTTACTAGTTATTATGAATTAAAGGGAAAATGATGTATATCAAAGGTCATAAACCAGTGATGTATAATGAAGCCAACCTATAGAAACTGTTCCTATTTAACGGACAGATTATCTCTTAAGTGACTCCTGTAATTTAGGCATTGTGTTAAGACATTGAAAAAAAAATGTTATTCTGGACCCACACACAGCTCCTCCCTTGGCAACATTCCCAGTACCCCCGCCTTCACCATCTCTGCCCGCGAGGTGGTGCAGCGCATCCCCAAGGCCAGCCTCAACTTCCAGAAGGTGCTGCCCGGCGCCCTGCACTCCCAAGACCTGGACCAGAACATGAACGACCGCCGTGAGGGCGGCCTGGCCAACAAGAAGCGGCCTCGGAACCGCGAGGAAGTGATCTTTGATAACCTCATGCTGAACCGAGTGTCCCAGCTGTCCCAGGCCATCCACGAGAACACGGAGCACCTCGCCGAGAAGATAAAGATCCTCTTCCAGGACTCAGGGCGCACATGGGAGGACCTGGAGGCCCAGATAAACGCTGAGAATGAAGTGCCCATCCTGAAGACGTCCAACAAGGAGATGAGCTCCATCCTGAAGGAGCTGAGGCGTGTGCAGAAGCAGCTGGAAGTCATCAATGCCATTGTGGACCCCAGCGGGAACCTGGACCTGCTCATGGTGAACCAGGGCGGCACGGGCTCCGGTGCCCTCGGGAAGGGTCAGCCGCTCACCCAGAGCCCAGCCTCGCCTGGCCCTGGGTGGCTTCTCGCAGCGGCCCCCCTGTGGGTCCCCCGGCCTCCCGGACCCCGCCTTCCTACCCGCCTTCCTCCCAGACTCAGAGCGGTTCCTGATCTAGTGGCCAGGCCAGGGGCCCCGCGTGCCCATGCCCCGGCCTCCCACTCCCCCCGCCCGCCTCGCCCCTCCGTGAAGACCCCCACACGTGCCATAACCCACGGGTGGCGCCCCACCCAGACCCCTCAGCTCCCAGCCAGCACCCTGCCCCCACCCCGCCGCCTCCTGGGCCAGCTCCCGCTGCGGCCGCTGCCAAGGGCCCGGGTCCCCGGTCGCCCGTGCCCGCTGCATCGTTCCCTTTGTCTTTCATTTTGGAGGAAAGTAGTTTGTCATTTCAGCAGCCTCTCCGCCTGCAGGGCCCATGACCTCATGGGCTGGAGCGCGTGCTGGCCTGGCGTGTCCCCGGGCGCTGGCCGGGCCGAGGAGGAGCATCCGTGGGTCATTCGGGGCCAAATGGAGCCAGAGGGGCTGGATGCCCTGGGACGCGAGGGTGCAGGCCGGGCAGGGACATGGCTGAGAGACGCGTGGGGCAGGAGCCCCAGCCCTTCCCACCTTCGGTGCCAACACAGCTGCCAACCCAAGCTTTCCAGCTGCCTGGAGAGGCATGCCTCCGCCCACATCTGCTCCCCATCAGCCTGGGCACATCTGCGGGTACAGGGCCTGCCCAGAGGGGAGCTGGGCCCCTGCTCTTGGTTCCTGGCCTCTGGGCCAGGTGGAGGTGAGAGCCAGGCCAGAGCGGCTGCAGCCGGGCTCCCGGGAGCTCCCGAGGCAGCATGCCGCCCCGTCCAGGATGCTCGGCATAAATGGGGCATCTGCACTCGGCTCAGGGCTCCACAGGCCCCATCCTGGTGGCAGGGACAGGCCCGGGAACAGGTTGGTTTTCTCAGGATCCTATTGGCGGGAACATGCCAGGCAGCCTTCCTGGGGGCTGTGTTTCTGGAGCCTCTAAGCCAAAGAGCCCGTGGGGAGGGGGGGGGCCCCTTGACCAGAGTGTGGGCAGCCTCTGGCGTCGGCATGCGTGTTGGTTGCTGGGGGACCGACTGTGGGGCGCAGTGTAGCTGGATGGAGGCCAAAGGGGTCATGGCTGTTTACACTGGGCGCCGGGCATGGCCTGCGCCCCTCCTGATGTTTACGTGTGTGAGTGGCAGTGGGGTCCCTGCCTGGTGTCCCCTCAGAGGAGGATCGAGTCCTGGTACCACCCCGCATGCCCCACGCCTCGCCCACAGCTGCCCGGACACACACGGTGGCCTCGGATCCCGGCCACGCGGCCCTCCCACACACACCCTCCCCGGGGTTGCTGTGAACTTTTTTAGCCGTAGATGCGTTCCTCTCCGGCCCGACCTGGGCTCGTAACGTATGTGTCCGGCTCCACGGAGGCTCTTCTGGTTTGTCCTTAGGTGGTCTGTGGGTGTCTTTTAGAAAACGGTTATTTTTTATGATTTGTCATGGAATTTGTTCTAATAAATCATTCTACCACGTGGCAAAAAAAAAAAAAAAAAAGTTATTCTGGTCTAGGTGGTTTTGCTCAGTGGCTAGAGCATCAGCCCACCTGGGTTCAATTCCAGTGGAGGGCATGCACCTCAGTTGCAGGCTAGATCCCCAACCCTGATCGGGGCCCATTTGGGAGGCAACCAATTGATGTGTCTTTCTCACATCAATGTTTCTTTTTCTCTCTTTACCTGCCTTCTTCCACTCTCTCTAAAAATCAATGAAAGGATATACTTAGGTGAGGATTAACAACAACAAAAATGTTATTTTGCCTTTCCACTGGTGAAGTGAAACCCACCACTATACTAAAAAGTAAATATATCTGGACTAGATAATATTTTGAGAATCCACATTTTATAAATATCCCTTATCCTATGCTTGATTTCTTTAGATAAATTCCCAAAAATGTAATTGCTATGTTATGTGATGGTAATCATATCATAAGGTATATAAATGTCAAATCATTATGCTGTACACCTGAAACTAACTTATTGTATACCAACTATACTTAAATTGAAAAAAAGGAGTACTCAAGATAATTGTCCTTACTAAGCATTTTTGGAGCAAACAGCAACATAACTAGGGCATTATTTATGAAAGCACAGTGATAATATTCTTCCCCCAATGGATTATGAGCAAATGTCAAAGGTCTCAGCAAAACAAATGTTGAAAAATTGTTAAAATAAGCAAGAGTAAAGCCCAGATGATTGCTTAAAACCATAGATTGCTAAAATTACAAGGGACCTTAGAAATATAACCTAACCCCATCACCTCTCACATAGACTACCACATAAACCTCTGAATTGGTCTACAATCTCTACCTGGAAGCCAAAACAATTTTTTTTTAATTTTAAATGAGACAGTGTCACTTTCCTACTTAAAGCTCCCCAAAGACTTCCCAGTAGAATTCATTCTAACTGCAAATTTTCTGTGATGACATTTAGGATCCTACATAATTTAACCCCTCCCTCTCTCTCCAGTTTCATTTCCTACTACTTTGTCCTTCATTTACCACACTCAGGCATGCCAGTCTTATTTTTAACCCTTGAACATGTCCAGCTCATTCCTAACTCTGGACCTTTGTACCTGTTCCTTCTTTATGAAATACTTTTCTCTCCAATCTTCATGTGGCCACCTTCTCACCATCAGACCTCTGCTCAAATGCCAACTCCTCACAGTCTTTTCCTGGCTACCCTAGCTGAACTAGTTTCCCATCATTATCACTGAGTCACTATCTCATACATTCTGTTAGTTTCTTCACAGCATTTACTCCTATCTGAAATTATACTGTTTATTATTGTATATTTATGGTCTGTCCCCCTCAACTAGAACAAAATCTCCAGGAAAGCATGGACTTTGTTTGTCTCATTCACTATTATATCCCCACCAGCTAACACTGTCTGGCACAGTAAAGTTTCCAATTAATATCTAAGTAAATATAGTGTGCCCAAAATGATGTATACATACATTTTGAATAATTATAAAGGCAGTGTTTATTAAAATACATTTCATTTTTAAAACTGAGTTGTCAGCTGTTAAAGTGTGTAAAAATTTGGGGAGGATGCCCTGAATTTGTTGAGTGAATGGACATACAAACACAGTGAGGGTCTTTAACACTTCCATGCCATCTGGCTCCTTATAAAGCTCCAAAATATTGACTAACTTCTGTAGAACATTAGTACTAGGAGGCACATTTTTTGGATTGAGGCAGCTGTATAAAAACAAACAAGAACTCTTATAAACAGATACAATAGGCTACTTCATGAAGTTATCCATACATTCAACAAATAATTTGCTGTAGATAAAATGATAAACAAGATGCACACTGTCCTGCCTTCAAGAAACTTACAGTCTACTGGATGACAGATATTAAATGTAATTACAAAGGGGAGGGGTTTGGGGGTTGGGTGAAAAAAGGTGAAAATATTAAGCAGAAAAATATAAGCGGTGGGAAAAGTAAGTTTACAGTTATGAGTATATGAAACATAGTTTATTCTTGTATTATAGTTTATTAATTATTGTATTACTTTCCATACAAATAACTATAAACCTACTTTTCCCATGCAGTAGGTGGCAGCCAGAGGGAAAGTGGGTGGGGAAGGAAGAAGAGGGCAAAAGGGAGATAAACAGGGATGGAAAGAGACTTTACTTTGGGTAATGAATGTATGATGCAAAAGTAAAGCCCAGATACAGATAACCTAGAACCACAGAGTTAGTCAATAAACACAGAAATAATAAAGAGTATAATTTCAGATAGAAGTAAATTCTATGAATAAACTAACAGAATGTATGAAATAGTGACTGATGATGATGATGATGATGATGGGAAATTAGTGCAGATGATGTTTTATTGAGTTGTACACTTGAAACCTGTATGGTTTCATTAACCATTGTCACCCTAATAAATTAAATTTAAAAAAGAATTAAAAAGTAAAAGTAATTACAATAAAATGAAATGAATGTGAATGTGATATAGCCATATGATGGGATATTATCCAGTTATAAAAAGGAACAAAGGAAAAAAATCAAAATTTTTAAAAACAAGGAAGAAAGTACTGATACATGCTATAACATAAATGAACCTTAAAACATTATGGCAAAATGAAACCAGCCAGTCAAAAAGGTCACATTTTCTATAATTCCATTTATATGAGATATTCAGAATAGGCAAATCTGCAGTAATAGAAAGTAGATTAGTATTTTCTTAGAGCTGGGGGAGATAGGGGAAATGAGGTTTCTTTCTGAGGTAATGAAAATGTGGTGATGGCCGAAACCAGTTTGGCTCAGTGGTAGAGCATCGGCCTGTGGACTGAAAGGTCCCAGGTTCAATTCCGGTCAAGGGCACGTACGTTGGTTGCGGGCACATCCATTGGGGGGTGTGCAAGAGGCAGCTGGTCAATGTTTCTCTCTCATCGACGTTTCTAACTCTCTATCCCTCTCAATTCCTCTCTGTGTAAAATCAATAAAATACATTTATTAAAAAAAAAGAAAATGTGCTGATGATGGTTGCACATATCTGTGAATATACCAAAAGCTACTTTGAATAGGTTAATTTTATATGTGAATTAGTCCTCAATAAAGATTTTAAAATATATAATAAATGCTATGATAGAGCAAATGCACTAAACTATGCACACATAGTTTAACTATCAGGGAAGGCTTTTATGAAAAAGTAACGAGATCTAAAAATGAGCAGGAGCTAGCCAAGGGACTTAAGGTGGAGTGGGGAGCATCTAACAACGTATATGGCTAGGAATAAAAATTGGGATGAAAGATAATCAATAATAATTGGCATTTCTTAATAATTGGCATTTCTTTCCTAGAAATTGCTCAGTATATCTGGAATGCAGAATAAAAGTAGGAAAGATAAGACTGTGGAAGTAAAAAGACGTAAAATCAAATAGAGTCTTGGATCAATGAAAATCCGGTTTTAAGATGGAGGTGACAATATGAGGTTTGCAGTTGCTCATTTCTATGTCAGAGATGAATGGATTATTACATCCACCAAAGTGTTTAGGGACTCTTAGAGATAAAATAACAAAGTATGATGCTATTATATGTCATGATAATATAGTTGAATTGTTAAATTTAGATATCATGATAATATAGTTAAATAGTTAAATAATTTTAATAGCAAATAAGTGGATCAGTAGATATAAGTAATTAAAGGTTACTGCCAACATGAAAATGTTTCCTCCCATATTACACAGGAGAGTGGTTGCAAGTACAAACTCTGGAATCAAGATAGGTCCTAGTTTAAATCCCAGAGCTGACACATATTAGGTGTGTAACTTTGGATAAATACTTAGCTACTCTGAAACTAAAATCAGTTTTATAAAATGGGAAAGATATTTATCTACTCGATAGTGTTGATGTGAGTTAAAGGATATATTACAGTATGATACATAATAAACATTCAATAAATGCTAGCTATTACTATAGTATTGTACCTTCTATCTCATCTTAACTAACATTCTCTACTTATCCTCACCTCCTATGTGTTTTTCTGTCTCTTCCAATTAGAATTACAGTGTCATGAAAGGCAGGACTTTTCTGTTCACCAACCTAGAACAGTACCTGGCACATAAAACACAAACATTTTTGTATGAAATTAATGAATGATTAAACACACTCAATGCACAGCAATCTGGCTTTTGCAAACACTAATCTAGCAAACCTCTTCTAGAAATATTAAATCCAATAGATACTTTGCAGTCATATACTGGATCTCTTTATTCCATTTGACATTAAATATTTACCCCTTCTTGAAACTCATTGCTCCCTTTGCTTCCATGATGTCTACTAGTATTCTCTTCTAAGTTTCCTCATATCTTTTGAACTATTACCTTTTTAACTCTTCCCTGAATTTCTCATCTGCCAAGGTCTTAATAATTGGCATTTCTTTCCTTAGTCCTACTCTTCTCTCTCAAAGTGATTGTCAAGTGGAAGGGTGAGCATGTGAGAAACAGCAAGGGAGGCTTTTGTCAAACTCTACTCCCCAGAGTCTGAGAATCACTACCTCTGAATCACTATTAACAGGAGGAATTTTTTAACATTCCAGTCTGCTAGGAAGTCAAAAATGTTGTGAACTCCTTTACCATCTCTCCTTGGTCTCCCCCTCACAGTTATGTAACACCTGTACACTACTGATTCCCAAGACTCTTAGCTACACCCACAAATTCTCCTCTGAGTGAAAACTAATATACCCAAAGATATCCACTGTGTGTTCCTCATGAACTTCAAATTAAGTGCCCAAAACTATGATGTCTCCCACAAAACCTGTTCCTCTTCCTGTGATGCCTCTGTCAATGAATGCCACCACATGGTCACCACTAAAATAATATCTAAGGTCTCATCAGGATATTTCCAAATATATAGTAAAGCACTCAACATATGAGTTATTATTATTCACGATGCCACCATCTACAGGAAACCCATCCCAAACTTCCAAATTGGATTAAAATTTCCTCCCATAGATCCCTGAGTTTTTCACTTACCAAGCTGTATTAATTATGTTTGTATACCTACAGTATACTATAATTTCTCTGTGCCTATTAAAATGTGCCTGATCGCTGAGACCGGTTTGGCTCAATGGATAGAGCATTGGCTTGGGGACTGAAGGGACCCGGGTTCGATTCTGGTACTTTGGTTGCGAGCATATCCCCAGTAGGGGGTGTGCAAGAGGCAGCTGATCGATGACTCTCTCTCATCGATGTTTCTAGCTCTCTATCTCTCTCCCTTCCTCTCTGTACAAAATCAATAAAATATATTAAATAAATAAATAAATAAATAAATAAATAAATAAATAAATAAAATGTGCCTGATCTATAATAGAAAGTTGTTAAACTAAGTTGAACCACAGAGAAACTATATGGCAATATAGTATTTTAGCCTCAAATTTGTTTTTGTAGAAGTATTATCACCAGTGATTATATCATACAAAATTCATTTACAATATTCAACTATCTACAAGAATAACATAGTGGAAACTTTCAAAGCAAATATCTACAAGAATAACATAGTGGAAACTTTCAAAGCACAATGCTGAACTGAAACTGAGTACCAGATTTTCTATCACAGGGTCTCTGTCTTCTTTGAAATGGGCAAATGTGGGATACATTAAGTCCTTTATATCAATTGTACATGGCGCTATTGATAAAAGTATTCTATAGTCACAAGCATTCAAATTGGAATACCGTATTTTCTGGCGTATAAAACGACCCCCTAATTTTACAGTTAAAACATAGGTTTAGGCCTATATTCGCTGTATAAGACTACCCCCCACTTCCGAGGCAACACCAGTTCTTTTTTTAATAGACCGCCTCTCTGACTCTGGCCAATCTGAGCAGGCTTTTTACTATATAGAACACAGTGTAGCTTCGGGTACAGAACATGTACACTGTGTTCTAGTAAAAAGCCTGCTCAGATTGGCCAGAGTCAGAGAGGCGGTCTATTAAAAAAAGAACTAGTGTTGCCTCGGAAGTGGGGGGTAGTCTTATACAGCGAATATAGGCCTAAACCTATGTTTTAACTGTAAAATTAGGGGGTCGTCTTATACGCCCAGTTGTCTTATATGCCGGAAAATACAGTAATAATATTAAGGACCACTAAGCATCAGCAGATTGCCAAGGGCACAACTTTTCTACCTGGAAATTTCTCTGACAGTCTATTAACATATACATGATAACTCTTCCATCTTCAGAATTATATGTAGCAATTAGAATAAGGCTTGAAAGAGGGTCTAAGACAGTGGTTGGCAAGCGCATTAGTCCACAGAGCCAAATATCAACAGTACAATGATTGAAATTTCTTTTGAGAGCCAAGTTTTTTAAACTTAAACTTCTTCTAACACCACTTCTTCAAAATAGACTCGCCCAGGCCGTGGTATTTTGTGGAAGAGCCACACTCAAGGGGCCAAAGAGCCGCATGTGGCTCGCGAGCTGCAGTTTGCCGACCACAGGTCTAAGACATCAAAGAAAATTAAAAATGAAATGCAAACCCACGGTGTGCATACCTTTAAAATACCATCCAAAGTACCCTTGTAGAGGTCCACATGTCCCACGATTGCCCTCTGGTTCATCATGCGAGTTCGAACCACATCAACTGGATTAGAAGCCAGAGCCCCAGCCAAGCCACATGTAAAACTGGAACTAAAAATGAAAAATTCAAGTAAATAAACTGCCCTTCTTCCACTCATGCCCTCTAAACAGAAATGAGGGAAAACTTAAACGTACAACGAGTCAGACTCAGCATATAAAACCTGGCACTTGACCTTTCATTATAATCTAAAAAGAAAATAAGTTCTAAAGAGACATCATTTAAAAGTTGTCCTTTTCGGGCTGCTCGGGTAGACATCTAGCCGCGGCAGCACACAACAATTTCAATGGAATACAACTAAGATGTAGAGTGGACATTGCCCAGAGCTACAGGTAGTCGACTGACTGAAAATTCTACAACAAGAAGGAAAGAGAAAACCAGAAGGAAAATCAGAGGAGCTGAAAAAAAGCCTAAGGTACGGAGACATGCTCCGCGCCCACCCGCACACGCGCACGGAGAGGTCGCAGCCGGAGAGGAGAAGAGGGAGGGGTGCTGCCTTTCCTTCCCTAGCAGGAAGGAAATAAAACCCGCAGGGGGAGACGGGGCTGTGAGGCGGAAAAGCGGCGAAAAGCAGGGCCCCGGAGTCACGCGCAGTGCGCGCACAGAGGACTGAATGTTGACTCTGATGCTGGGTTATCCTAGCCGGAAGAAACAAGGCCTCCGGCGGTGCTGGGCCTCAGTCCGGACTGTTCCAAACCCCAGTTCTGGGCCAATCCCTGGGGACCCAGACTCAGGCAGAGGGAAACGGGGCTATGAGGTTGAGTCCTGGGAGAGCAGCGAAAGTCCGGGCCCCCGGACTTGCGCAAACTGAGCGCAGAGGACAGTCTGTTGATTCTGATGCTGGACTCCCCTAGCGAGAAGGAGAAAAAAAGCTCTGGGCTGGGGGAACACGGCGGGGAGCAGGATCCCCTGCCGGACGCCGCCCAACCGGGAACCAGCAAGGAGCTGGGCGACGGGGCCCCTGGGGGTGGGGTGCCCCTGAGCCTTCCACTGCTGAGCACAGGCAATGGAGCCAAGGCCGGGAGGCTGCTTCCTGGGCGGCGCCGTCCCCGGCAACAGGCTACAGCAGCACAGGAGCCCGTGGAGAACAAAGGGGTGCCACAGGCCAACCTGCTGAGCTCCCAGGACAAGGAGGAAGAAACCAATGAAGTTCTCAATGTAAAGAAATCAAGTGAGAGCAAAAGATAGTAAAATTACTTAAGAAAGAATACAAAGAAGTTCTTGAAAAATCAAAGACTAAGTCAGAACTCAACTCACCAGCCAAAATTGCAACATAAATACATTTAAAAAAAAAGAAAAGAAAAAAAGGACAGAATGTTGGAGCAGTGGCGGCCAGGCCTAGAGTGGCCAGGCACAAGGCAGTGGCAGCCAGGCCCTGAGCAGCAACGGCCAGGCCCCAGAGCAGCAGCAGCCAGAACCAGAGCATCAACAGCCAGCACTGGAGCAGCCAGACCTGGGGCAGTGGCAGCCAGGCCTGAGGCGGAGGCGACCAAGCCCAGGGTGGCCAGTCCAGGAACACCCAGACCCTGAGTAGCCGGGCCCGGAGAAGCCGGGCCCAGAGCAGCCGGGGTGGGAGCAGCCAGACCCAGAACAGCAGTAGCCAAGCCCAGAGCATCCAGGCCGAGAGTGGCCAGGCTCGGAGCAGCCGGGCCCGGGGCATCCGGGCCCAGAGCAGCCAGGTCAGGTGCGGCCAGGCCCGGAGCAGCGGCTGCCAGGCTGGGAGCGGCCAGGCCCGGAGCAGCCGGGTAGGGTGCGGCCAGGCCCGGAGCAGCGGCTGCCAGGCTGAGAGCGGCCAGGCCCGGGGGAGCAGCCGGGTCGGGTGCAGCCAGGCCCGGAGCAGCAGCTGCCAGGCTGGGAGTGGCCAGGCCCGGAGCAACAGCAGCCAAGTCCAGAGCAACTAGGTCGGGAGCGGCAGTGACCAGACCCGGAGCAGCTGGTTGTGGAACGAACCAGAGTAACAGAAGCCATGCCCTGAGCAGCCAGGCTCGGAACAGCTCGCTCCTCGCCTGCCCCTGCCCCATGGCTGCCTCTCAGACATGGCTGGAAATTTTCGCGGGAACTTGAGGGTCCGCTGAATCAAGTGATGAAGGCTTAGATCTGGATGTGTTGAGTTAGTATAGGGCTGGGGTGTTGATCTGTGAGTGCCTTGGGTGGGGCCTGGATGAGGCTAGTTGACCTATTGGGGAATGTCTTTTGTATGAAGTGTATCATTGGGCATGTGGAGGTATTATTGATATGAGAAAATGCTAAGTAACTGAATTACTATCTGAAAAGGGATTTACTATCGGGGAAAGGGAGGGAAGAAGAGACTGAACATAAACTGTGCACCTATGGATGAGGACAATGGGGGTTGGGGAGGGGGCGGAGAGTGGGGTGGGAACCTGGTGGAGGGGGGAAGAAATGAGGAACCTTTGTAATAATATGAACAATAAAGATTGATTTAAATAAAAAATAAAAAAAAGTTGTCCTTTTCACTTTTCAATCTGAAACTTTACATAGCTTTTTTTTTTTTTCTTAAAGGGAGACAATTTAAAAGTCGAGCAAGATTCCTAAAGAGGAAGTATCATACATCATGCATTAGTTATGTAGATTTTTCAAAACATAGGATCATATGCCAAGTGCATTTCAGTAGTAAAATATCATAAAAGTTGCATGATGAAGAAAATGTAGGATGTGATGACTGGCAACAGTCTTCAGCCCAAAATTATGGTTTTGTTTCTCAGGCCCTATACAATTTGACTTTTTTGATTCTTGTTGAGAAAAGTTTTCTTTCTGTTCTAAAGTAAACCAAAGCAAATAACAGATGAGCTTATTAGATATAGAGGCTGTGTACGAACAAATGCAAACACTGACAAAAATCTGACACGCTGCTGTATTAGCTACTGCCCCAAGTACCAAAACGCCCACAGCATCTGGGATGTAGCATAAAGGTATCAATTCTATGAGGATTTCAGTGACATTTTTTGTGTGTTGATAATATGGCATGAGCACAACTTATAATACTTACACAAAGTGAGTTAAAATTGTGTCTCCCATCACCCCTGACAATATTAAGTGCTTCTTCGTAATATCATAGACTGGTAGCTCTACTCCCACAACGATAGCAGCCCGCTGAGCAGTTGGGACGACACCCTATAAGATGTAAGTGACATTAGACACCAAGAAAATACACAGGTAGTGTAGCATAAGTCCAAAAGTGAACAAAATAAATTGTGAGTTAAAAGGTGACAGAAAAATCCAAATCTGGAGTTCAGACATCACTCTTTCAAATCAATGCCTACTACTGGAGTAAGTCTGTGAATTACTAAAAACCATTATATTGTACACTCTAAGATGGTGAATTTAATAGTATGTGAATAATCTCAATAAAGATGTTATTTAAAAAATCCAATAAATCTATGAAGCATAAGTCAGTGGGGAGAAAAGTGCTTCTAAGTTTAATTTACAGAATTTCAGGATATGCAGAAAGAACACACTAGGATGTCAGCAAAGATATGCTGCAGCTAGGGAGAAGGCCAAAGCAAAAGCAATATTTCCTTATAAGTCCTCCTGGAGCAATACTACCAGAGTTTCACTCAACAACATATTACAGCTCACATTATTGTGCAGGGCTGCTAGAGCATTAAAAGTCATATTTTGAAGAATACTGACACAAGAAAATACTTATGATATAACTTTTAAAGAAGGCAAGACATAAAATTACACATAGTACTATTCTAACTTAGGCAAAAAGGTATGTATACATGCCAAATTTTTGTAGAAGATTAGAGGGAAATACACCAAAATATTTTCTTCATCTGGGATTAGGAAAGCAGACCAGTTAATTTTCATTTTTATATCTATATCTTAAAAATCACAATGAATGTTTTAGTTTTAGTTTTTAAAATTATTTATCTTTATTGTTGAGGGTATTATAAATGTCCCCATTATCCCCTCACTTTCCTTCTCCATCTGATTCCCACCCTACCCCAGGCCTTCACCACAAATGTTTTACTTTTATAAGTAAACTAGAGGCCCAGTGCATGAAATTCATGCAGGGCGGTAGGGCCCTCATCCCAGTCTGCACCCTTTTGCAATCCGGGATGCCCTCAGATGTCCAACTGATGGTTTAGGCCCAATCCTGCCAACAGGATAGGTTCTAAACTGGCAGTTGGACATCCCTCTCGCAATCCAGGACTGCTGGCTGCTGACCGTTCACCTGCTTGCTTGTCTCATCACCCCTAACCACTCTGCCCACCTGCCTCATCGCCCCAACTGCCTCTGCCTGCCTGCCTGATCGCCCTTAACCACTTGCCTGCCTGATTGCCCCTAACCACTCTGCCTGCCTGCCTCATCGCCCCTAACAACCTTCCTGCCTCCTTGATCACTCCTAATCACTCTGCCTGCGTTCCTGATCTCCCCTAACTGTTGCCTGCCTGCCTCATCACCCCTAACCACCTCTGCCTTGGCTGCCGCCACTACAACTTCGTCCGGAAGGTGATCCGGAATTACATGTGGAAGATCGTCCGGAAGGATGTCTGGAATGACATCCAGAAGGTCGTTCAAGCACTGATTAGTTTGGATCAGTGGATAGAGCATCGGCCTGCGGACTGAAGGGTCCCAGGTTCGATTCCTGTCAAAGGCATGTACCTTGGTTGCAGGCACAACCCCAGTGGGGGGGGTGCAGGAGACAGCTGATAAATGTTTCTCTCTCATCAATGTCTCTAACTCTCTATTCCTCTCCCTTTCTGTGAAAAATCAATAAAATATGTTTTTAAAAAAGGTTGTTTGGCTGTCCATTCTAATTAGCATGTTATGCTTTTATTATTATAGATGGTGTTCAAATGTCATTGAAAATTGAACATAACATACTATGGGGACAATTGCTTTCTGAAAGACCTGTTATATTATTCAATCATCTCTAAATTTCCTAACTCACCCTCACTGGTTTGGCTCAGTGGGAAGAACATCAGCCTGCAGACTGAAGGGTCCAAGGTTCGATTCTGGTCAAGGGCACATGCTCAGGTTGCAGGCTCGGTCCCCAGTCAGGGGCATGCAAGAGGCAGTCAATGGGTGATTCTCATCATTGGTGTTTCTATCTCTCTCTCCCTTTCCCTTCCTCTCTAAAATCAATGAAAATATATTTTTAAAAATTCCTAATTCAATGTATACAGTGGAAGTAATATAGCTGTGCTATCCCCATGTTTTATTCTGCTGATTGGGCTGACAGGCCCCAAAATGCCTTCCTCTCTGACCTGTCCATCTGCTCAACTCTGTTAGAAGACTACCTTTACAGAAGACTACTTTGGTGAACACTAATGTCCCAAATTGGAATCCATGGACTGAATTCAGACAAGTTTTGTTTCACCAACTGTGTTTCTAGAAGGCTGAATAAGCTGTCAACGTATTAAAAAACCAGGACACTTCACATAGAAATGCAGATTTCCAGCTTCTCTTGAAAGTCCAGAAAACTTGACCACACTGATCTCACATCACACATGGCAACAATGAGCGGGGCAGGTGCTTTCCAGTTACCACAGTCCCCACGACTATCGTCTCTCCAAATCTGACATTAGTGCCAGTCACGCTTTATTGTTGTATTCATACAGCTATTTCTCCCAATGGAGTAGGGAAGAAAGTGAAATGTTTCCAGTATCCATATTGTAATCAAAGCAGGGAAATAAAGCGTAAACAAAGAGAACCCATGGGTTTGAAGAAACATGCAAACAAACGTATTTCCCTTTGAAATAAAAGAAATACAATTCTGTATTTTAATATACAAATAACATGTCTGTGTCAAAAGACTACATAACACAATGTACATGCAATGGATGATGTAAGTAAAAGTAGCTATGTTCAGTTCCTCAAAAAATTAAACATAAAATTACCATACAATCCAGCAATCCCACTTTTGGGTATATACATAAAAGAACTGAAGTCACAGTCTTCCCTCACCCTTGCCTATAGCACTATTATTCATAAAAGCCAAGGTGTAGAAACAACCTAAATGTCTATTAACAGATGAGCAGATAAACATACACAATAGACTACTATTCAGCCTTAAAAAGGAAAAAAATTCTGACACATGTGACAACATGAATGAACCCGGAGGGGCACTATGCTAAGTGAAATAAACCAGTCACAAAATAACAAAAGTATGATTCCACTTATATAAGGTATCCAGTATAGTCAAATTCATAGAGACAGAAGGTATAAGGTTGTGGGGAAGGGGAGAAGAGGGAATTTCTTAATGGGTACAGAGTTTCAGTTTTGCAAGATGCAAAGAATTCTGGAGACCGGTTGTTGAAAAATGTAAATGTACTCTACACAACTGAACTCGAAATCATTAAGATGGTAAAATTTTTAATGTGTATTTTATCATAACTAAAATTTTTAATTAAAAATAAAGTAGCTATGTTCCCCTGACCAAATCTTCAATTCTATTTATTTAAAATTCAATTCTTTCCTTTAGCCTTACTTTGTAAAAAAAAAAAAAAAAAAAAAAAAAAATTCTAGCTAGTTCCATTTTTTGGCTTTAAATTGAACTAATCAAAAAACAGCACTCTGCTATTATTAAAAAGCAAATCTTGTCGAAACCAGTTTGGCTCAGTGGATAGAGCGTCGGTCTACGGACTGAAAGGTCCCAGGTTTGATTCCAGTCAGGGGCATGTACATTGGCTGCAGGCACATCCCCGGTGGGGGGTGGGCAGGAGGCGGCTGCTCAATGATTCTCTCTCATCGATGTTTCTAGCTCTCTATCCCACTCCCTTCCTCTCTGTAAAAAAATCAATAAAATATATTTTTTTTAAAAAGCAAACCTCAAGGATCATTAACAGATACCAAGACCATTAGGTGAAAGATTATTAGATAATAGGATACATGCATGATGCTAGAATATAACCCTACAGACTACTTGCTAATTGCCAATGGGGAAACAGCTTATCTTTTATGAAGGTGAGATCTAGTAGACATCATTTTACCAAGTAGTCAAACTTGACATCACTAACTATGGGATAACCCAACATTATCTGACGGTTAATATGTTGCATATGAAATACAGTCTTACCCATGAACTTCTCTTACCAAAAATGTTTAACAAGAATCTAATCAAGCCAACAGACTTAACTTCTAGTTTATAGAAAGTACAGAGGGAATATGAGGAATAATTTTATAAGAAAGCTAGCCTGATCTCATCAGAAAAGGAAATTTGAATATCGGCTGGGTGTTGGGTATTAGGGACTTACTGTTAATTTTCTTAGGTATGATGATGATATTATTATTATTATGTAGGAGAATGTCCATATTCTTAAGAGATATATAAGGAAGAATTTAGGGGAATGCCATGATGTCTGAACTTTCCTTTCAAATAGCTTAGCAAAAAAAAAGGGTATATACACATTCATAAATAGATAAAGCAAATATGGCCAAACTTTAACAGTCATTTAATCCAGGTATATAGGTATTCATTGTTCTATTCTTTCAACTTTTCTGTATGTTTGAAATTTCTGTAAGAAGTTGGGGAAAATTTAAAGGAAGAAAAAAAAGCAAAGTTCTCTTTTTTAAAGAGTCTATTAATAGAATTTACCTTCTACTCTCTCTGCATATTCTACTAGTAGTCTTACTTAATATTAAGTGGTTAAAATAGGATAAATCATTACAGGAAAACAACAAAAAAAGAAGTATGGATAGAAGACTGAAAGATAATAAGACAAAAATGTTAAAAGTTATTATCTCCAGCTAGTGGGACTTGATATATTTTTTTCATTTATATATTTTCTCAATAGTTTATAGTACATCTTTTAAAGATTCTGGATTTTTAAAAAAGATTTAAAAGATTATTTTAGGCAACAACTTTAGAACGTAAGCATTATAGAGGTATCATGATCAAACATTGCTGTGTCAGTACAAAACTGGCAAAAATAGATATTGAAGAACTAACTCGCTGTGAATTTGAACAAATCAAAATGCTATCTCAAATAATGTAATATCTTATCTCATATACATAACCCCCAAACATTAAGTAGAAATAAAGACAACTGATAAATTCTGGTCCTTTCATAGGTGATAAGGAGCTTCTTACCTTATTTTGGGGGTTACTAAGAATCTTACACAGTATGAGATGACAGTTCACAATTGTATGACTTTACATATAAAAGGTATTCTTTGCAAATTATAAGAACTGAGTATACAACAATATCAGGAAAAGAGTACTCACCCTCCACAGGCCCTTGGTACCTTCTTGCTGGTATATATCAATGAAGCTGCCAATCATGCTGCCTTGGAACAAGCTTCCCTGAGCCTGCATTCGAATCTAAAATAAGAAGAGGTAAACATTTTGTTTTGACTGAGAGAACAAAAATGAGATACTTTACTCATTTAAAATTTAAGAAAACAGTTTTTGGCAATTAAAAATCAGGCCCAGCGGCATGGCTCAGTGGTTGACCGTCAACCTATGAACCAGGAAGTCACAGTTCAATTCCTAGTCAGAGCACATGCCTGATTGTGGCTTAATCGCCTGTGTGGGGCATGTAGGAGGCAATGCATCAATTATTATCTCTCATCATTGATGTTTCTATTTCTCTCTTCCCTTCCTCTCTGAAATCAATAAAAAAAAACTTTTTAAAAGGAAAAATGAACCTGCTATTATTATGAAGTTAATGACTAAAACTATATATAGAAAGTATCCATAATAATAAAAGCGTAATATACCAACTAGACCAGACATCCTTCTGGATGACCTTTCTGATAAAGCTGGAGCTGTGAGGGAAGCCCAGGTCCTGGATGCCTGCCTGGGGCCTGAGGGAAGCCTGGGTCTCGGGTGCCTGCGGCCCGGAGGGAACCCCAGATCCTGGGTGTGGGTGGCTGGAAAGAAGCCCGGGTCCCAGGTGCCAGAGGGAAGCTGGTGCCAGTAGCCAAAGGAAGGAAGGCTTACTCTTGCATGAATTTCATGCATTGGGCCTCTAGTATCTTGCAAAGGTGATTTTATCAGCCTCACATTTCTCATATGTAGGTCTATCATTTCTGGAGTTAAAAGAAAACTTGAAGAAAAGAACAAGCACTCAGTGTAGGTAAAAAAATAATAATAATAATTCACTTAAAATGTGAGTAATTTAGTGAAAAATTAAAACAGTCTACATGTCAAAAACCACAAAGGATTGGCTACATAAGTTTATGGTGCATCCATTTAATGGAATACTGTGCAGCCATAAAATTATGTTGTAGAACAATATTTTGACACTGAAAAAAATGTCAACAAGTAATTGCTAAATAGAAAAAACAGGCTACAAAGCAGTATGTATGCTATATAATTTTTATTAAAAACATGTGCTCTTAAAATAAGCCATATGCACAAGAGAGTGGATGAATATACACATGCAAATGTTGACCATGGTTTAAGTCTGAGAGATGAGGCTATCCGTGAGCATTTTTTCCCCTTTTTGCTTTTTCTGCCTCCCACTTTTTTCTATATTTAACATGCACTGCTTATGTAATTATAAAAAGTAAAAATATTTTAATGTAATTTTATGCTACAAGACATTAAACTGAATTTTATTTGTAAAAAGCATACTATATTCTGCAAACGAAGAAAAATCAGCCTGCTCTTATTATGAGAAGAGCACAAGAAAAGAGATAGAGCACTCTCGCACACAGAATCACAGGAGTGTGCCTTAGCCAGTTTGTTTCAGTGGACAGACTGTCAGCCCATAGCATGACTTGTCCCGGTTTGATTCAGATCAATGGCATGTACCTTGGTTGCAGGTTCAATCCCAGCCCTGGTCAGGGAGTGTATGGGAGGCAACCAATCAATGTGTCTCTCTCACATTAATGTTTCTCTCTCCCCTTCCCTTCCACTCTCTCTAAAAATCAATGGAAAAATATCCCCGAGTGAGGATTAACAACACACACAAAAAAGAATCACAGGAGTCATCACTAAATACTAGTACCCCATATGTAGCTCTGATTTTCATCAAGCAAAATTCTAGGTTTTCATATATATCATGTAACATCAACATGTCTCTATGTAGAAAATCAAGTGCTATAACTAAAGGTTGAAATAAAAACCTAAACCAAATTATATCAGAATAGAAATCACCACAAAGACAAGCTGAAACCACAGATATCGTATGACTAGTAGCCCTGCACAGGAATCCATGCATGAGTAGCTCGCTGCCATGCCCTCCTGCAGCTCTCCACCACTTGTAGATTGGTCATGACATTACAGTGTAACAGATAATTAGCATATTCCTCTCTTATTATATAGGATAAGTACAAGTTTCCTTTAGGGAGATGATTCCTGAGCAGGTCTGGGACTAGGGTGGAGAAACAAGCAGGGCACTTCCCTCAGGCACAAAATGTAGGAGGAAAACACAAAAAACTTCAGTAATCCTGATAAATAACATCTTAATGAAACATTTTTTTAAAAAAATCAAAATTAATGCACACTGCTGAAACCGGTTTGGCTCTGTGGTAGAGCGTTGGTCTGCGGACTGAAAGGTCCCGGGTTCGATTCCGGTCAAAGGCATGTACCTTGGTTGCGGGCACATCCCCTGTAGGGGGTGTGCAAGAGGCAACTGGTCGATGTTTCTCTCTCATCGACGTATCTAGCTCTCTCTCTCTCTCCCTTCCTCTCTGTAAAAAATCAATAAAATATATTTTTTTTAAAAATTAATGCACAAAAACCAATAATAAACCAAATATCAAAATTGCAACTAAAATAGGATCCAACATGGTGGGATTAAGGTGAGGCAAAGAAGATTAATTGTACAAAATATTGATATGCTATTCACCATTAATTTTTTGCATTCATCTTAATTTCTGAAAAATATTGCATAAAAACATTATCTCTTGATTGCTGAGTTTTTGGTACCTCCTTACATTTTGCAATCAAAGAGATTACCTTACTTGTCTCGTCCAAGTCCTGGTCCTATTTCTAAGAAGTCTTGAAGGATAAATTCATAAGGAAAGGGGGAAAGCAATTGAGGCAAAAACAGAACTATATGCACAAAAGCGAAGAAGCAACACAAAGTAAATCAGAGAAAGAGCTATCCAAGGATAAAAGGATTGAACAGCCCAACTGCGATTGTAAATCTTATATTGTTACCATCACACTCTAAGTTTGTGATCTGGGATTCTCACATACATGTTATCATATATTTAGTGCTTTCAATTAATCATAATCTGATCCATGATACATTTAAATAAGTTCAATAGAAAATGTTTGCCTTTTAATGAATTAAGATGATTTATATTAAAATAAACGTTTCATTCTGTATTTTGATAAAATCTGAAAGCAATCCATATTTTGAAAACTCAGTACCACTAACCTATATTGTTCTTATTCTGAATTCAGAAGATCCCAACACAAGCCAAAATATACATACCATTTCAAAGCCAAATCTCACTCTTAATAGAAATATGGATAAGCCAGGAAAAGACAGAAGCATTATAGACTTAAGGTACCTCAATTAGGTACTAGAAGAGGCTTTTCCAAAAACTACATTTCAATTTATTCCCTTGTTCGGTTCCCCAGGTTACACCACAGGTCAATATACCATACTAAGCTCTGGAAGGGATAAGGGATATGCCTTTCTTTTGTAAAGTGGGGAAAGGACTATTACATATACAAGTTCTCTCTCAGATCACTTTTAGAAAAGAGTACAAATGGAAGTAGGGGATCTTGAAATTAATTTCATTAAAATTGCACTGCCCTTGGAAAGAACCTATAAAAGGTTTCAATATTCTATTTTGAAGACCAATGGATTAATGCATACCTTAACAAACTGACTACTATTTATTGAGCATCTGCTACGAACAAGTACAATGACAGGCGCTTTATACTAGTATATACGTATTATCTATAGCCCTTAACAACCATATATGATTAAGTACTGAATTATCTTCATTTTACAAATGAAGCAATTAAGTGATTTACCCAAAAATTTACAGCAGACAAGTGACAGAGTGGGGAATCTAAACCCAAATATGATTCAAAACTCATGCTCTTTTCACATCACACTGCACATCCAATGTACCAGACCTCTCTTACCTTTAGTACATCGGTGGGATTGGCTATAGTGGAGGATATCACTCCTGACACTACCCCACAGATCATATTAATTAGAAGAGTTTCATCTGTAAAAAGGAGGGGGGAGAAAGAAAGAAAGAACGAAATGTCTGCTTGTATTAGGTACCAGTTTCTAAGAACAGAGCACTGAGCTATCAGAGGAAGGGAAACTTAAGTCAGAGAAATGACTGTAGAAATGAACTACAAAGCTTATGAAAGTGAGCACATATTTCTAGATCTCAAATCAGTACTGAAATGTATAAAAATTGCAATACATAAATCATTTTTTAAACTAATTCTAAAGAACACTGGGACATGTTCTATTATTATATGTAACTGCTAATTACACACACAAATTCAAATGTGGTTATTTTACCTTTCAATCGTTTCAAACATCTAAAGAAAACTATTTTAAGTCTTTCTGGAGAATCATTAACTCAAAAGACTCAGGACTGAATGTTAAAAGATAAATGATGACTCACTTATTATATGGAATCTAATGAACAAAATAAACTGATGACCAAAGTAGGTCCAGAGGCACGGATGCATGAAACAGAATGACAGATCTCAGTGTGGAGGGGATGGGAAAAGATTAACCAAAGAACACATGTACCCATACATAAACCATGGATCCAGGCAATAGTGTGGGGAAGGCCTGGGGTGGGGTGGGCCTGGGTAGAGGGGGGCAAAGGGTGGTGAAATGGGGGATATCTGTAATACTGTCAACAACAAAAAATTTTTAAAAGATAAAATCTTTGCCCTAGCCAGTTTGGCTCAGTGGACAGAGCATCTGCCTGTGGACCGAAGGGTCCCAGGTTTGATTCTGGTTAAGGGCATGTACCTCAATTTCAGGCTCCTCCCTGGCGTGAACCTGGTCAGGGCATTTGCAGGAGGCAACCGATCGATGTTTCTCTCACATAGATATTTCTTCTTCTTCTTCTTCTTTTAAAATATATTTTATTGATTTTTCAGAGAGGAAAAGAGAGGGACAGATAGCCAGAAACATCGATGAGAGAGAAACATCGATCAGCTGCCTTCTGCACACCCCACACTGGGGATGTGCCCACAACCAATGTATATGCCCTTGACAGGAATCGAACCTGGGACCCCTCAGTCTGCAAGCCGACACTCTATCCACTGAGCCAAACTGGTTTTGGCTCATATAGATATTTCTGTTATTTCCCTCTCTCTTCCACTCTCTCTAAAAATCAATGGGAAAATATCCTCAAGTGAGGATTTAAACAAACAAACAAACAAAAAAGACAAAATCTTTGTCTAATAGAAAAAATTATCTAAATATTAATTGTGATTGGCCTTAATATCTAATAGCCTCAATATCTACTAGCCTCTATTTGTTAAAAGGAGGTTTCTATAATCAAATATGAAAAACTAGTCATTTGGAACTAAATCCCCTACTACCAGAAGCAAAACAAAAGAGAAAAAACCCACAGAGTCCCTGGCCAGATGGCTCAGTTGGCTGGAACATAATCTATGCATCAAAATCTTGCAGGTTTGATTCCTGGTCAGGCCACATATCTAGGTTGCAAGTTTGATACCCAGTCAGGACACATACAGGAGGCAACCTATTGATGTTTCTCTCACATAGACTTTTTTTCTCACTCTCTTTCCCTCTAAAATCAATAAAAACAGTCCTAGTTAGTTTGGCTCAGTGGATAGAGATTCAGCCTGCAGACTGAAGGGTCCCAGATTTGATTCCAGTCAAGGGCACATGCCTGGCTGTGGGCTCAATCCCCAGTAGGAGGCATGCAGGAGGCAGCCGATCAATGATTGTCATCATTGATGTTTCTTTTCTCCCTCTCCCTTCCTCTCTGAAATCAATAAAAAATATGTTTAAAATATAAATAAATCAATAAAACCCAATAAAAACACATCCTCAGATAAGGATTTAAAAAAAAAAAAACAGAGCATATTTTTCTGATGTTAAAATTTAATCTTCACCATGAAGAGCCCACAAACAGAAACTAGGTAAACCCAAGTGAACAATCGTGAAATGAAATTACTTTAGGAAGAGAACCCTCAGGATCCTCAAAGAAGCAGCTCCAGAATAAGTTGATTTACTAAAGTGATTCAAAGTCCACTGCTAACCAAAAGGCCCTCCAGCTGTCTCCAACCATGCAACAGTTCCAGGCGTGTAGTAAAATAACCATTTAGCACAGCATCAGGCTGGAAATGTTGCAGAAGCAAATACAGGGCCATATAATACTGCTGAATGCAGATAAGGTGGCCTAAAATTACTCCACCTAAGAAACGTTTGTCAAAATCAGCAGCTAGAGAAGTCCTTTATAGTGGAAGTCACAAGAACAGCATTAATTTTCTGGACAAGCTTATTCCATATTCCCTCTGTGATGGCCAGAAGCCTTTGTTTCCCTTTGATAGGAAAAGGGACACACTTGAAGAGCAGATCCCTCTAACACATTATCACCTCTGCAAGAATTAATCCCAAATCAGTACCAGCTCACTGTGTCCTTGCAATGACTGTCACCCATTCTCACCCAAAATGAACACTTTCTTAGTAAGCATGATTTCAATAATCCCCTTGAGTGTTACCCCAAAGAAAATAAGGAGTTTATACTGACCTTCTAAACGTTCTACAAATAATTTCTTCAAGCTTTGATAAATGCCAATTTTAATGGTGCCATATGATGCCTGTCTTAGTAAAGCAGGAGCAATTCTGCCCAAAAAAAAAGCGGAGGGAAAGTCAATTATACTCAACACGAGCTTGCAAATTATACATGTCTAGACAGCCTACTCATTTCCATTAGCTATCTCATTTCACCCAACAGCCAATATATATATTTTTCAAGCATTCATGGAACCAAGAGAGCAAATTAGGGTACTAAAAGAAACCTCAACAAATTTTTAAAAATTGAAATCATATAGGTTATGTTCTCTGGCCATGATGGAATTAAACTAGAAATCAAGAAGGAAAATGCTTCAACATTTAGAAATTAAACAGCACACTTCTAAACAACCCATGGATCATAGAAAGTCTCAAAGGAAATTTTAAAAATACATAGAACTGAATTAAAAGGAAAAATTCACCCTTTAAAATATGTGCAATGCAGCCAAAGCAGAGCTGAGAGAGAAATTTATAACACAAAACACTTAGATTAGGAAAGAGGGACAGCCTCAAGTCAATCATCTAAATTCCTTCCTACTAGAAAAAAACCAAAGCAAGCAGAAGAAAAAAATAAAGAGCATAACTTAATAAAACTGAAACAGGAAAATTGAGAAAATCAATGAAACAAAAAGTTAGCTCAAAAAATCAAAATATTAGCAAATTGAATCCAGCAATGTACAAAAAGAAGTATATACCATTACCTACATCATAGATACATTTTAAAAAATCAACCTTACTTCCTAACAGTTGCAGATACATCTTTCATCCTTTCAAAGAGGTACCAGGGCCAAGATTTCACCCTATTTAAGTTATAAACTTGAGACATTTCTCACTCTTGTGTCCTTTGAGATTCTTCCAAATTACAGAACTATATGTTAGTAGTTATAAATAGAAAGACATCAGAAGCTCAGCCAGTTAGGGAAAAATTATGAATAAATATGCATACTTTTGACTTTGCTTGCTATCAGAAAAAAAAAATAATCTTGTGATTATCCATGCTGATGAAAGAATATGGATGTATTACTTGATTTTTCCCCCAAGAAAATTCTTTGAAATTCAGCCTAACATAGATTAATAATAAAATTGATGTCTATTCTCTGAACAATAAACTGGTACCCTAGATACAGGAGCATCCTAGGAAACTGGTAGGAGATAACAAACTGGACAATAAACCACAAAGATATGGCTAATCAAAAGTTGACCCCTAATAGCTTTACACACTTATAAATGAACACAAAATCCAAAGCTCAAGGCTTTAAGTAAATGAAATATAAACTGGCACATCAATATTCAATTACAACTTGAAATGGTGAATATGAACAGCCTAAACTATCAGACAGCTAAAATACGTGACTTCTGTAAAAACTATTTTTATTCATGATGGAAGGTAAGAATCCAGTCTTACCCTGAATACAAAGCCAATATACCTTCTTCTTTATAAATTCGGAACAAGGCATGAAACATTCCTCGGTATTTTATCTCTTTGAAGCGGGCATCAATGGTTTGGCCTTGAACCTGCAGTCGAGTTTTGGTTAGGTCCACGGGAAAGGTTCCTATAAAGAACACACTCACTTATAAGTTTTTTGTTTGTTTTTTTTCAAGGAATCACGGTTAACTGTTGGCTGAATGTGTGTAAATGACATTTTCCCCCTTTATTTTATTACTAAAGGTGAGCGGGGGGGATACCTCAGCCCAGCCTGTGCCCTTTCACAGTCCAAGAGCCCTTGAGGGATGTCCAACTGATGGCATAGGCCTGCTCCCCACCAATGCCTGTCATAGTGACCAGTAGTTCCTTTGTTTGGTTGATTTGCATATTACCCTTTTATTATATAGGATTTTTTTCCAATCACTATTTATTCCCCATATACCCTCTTCCACCTCCACCAATCCACCTCCCCGCAATGAAGTCATCACACAATTAACCAATGATATTTTTTAAAACATAACACAAAGTTCTTTTTATAACACAGAACACTAGAATAACACTATCATAAGTCATGTCTTATATGTGGTAAAGTGAAATGCACTGTATTCTATCTGGTCAACAGGATTTTACCCATAATATAACTGAAATTGTAATATAATAAAGTGCTTTTAAGATTGTCTTATATATAATAAAGGCAAAACGATTTAAATGTTTTAATTTCATATATTACATACAATCTGGCATTTATCTCTGTCTCTTCCTTCTGCCCACTTCAAGTCTCCTCACTTCTCCCTCTTAAAATTTCCCTAAATTTTTACAGAGAAGATAAGAAAGTGTTAGATTGTTGCTCCAGATAGTCTTATATACTATTACAAGGTTTTGTGTTTTTCTTTTTATCTGTTTATAAGAAACAAACAGTTCCCTAGTATTATAATGACAAAGTCCTATTTAGTTTACTCATCCTGGTTCCTTAGGTAATTCAAGACTAATACCAGTCTTGAATTTTCTTCAAGAAAGTTTTCTTTAACCAAACTTCTTTCTCTTATTATATTAACGCATAGAAGTGGTCATTACATTGACGAAATATGTTTCACAGAATATTTCAAGGTCTAAAATTAACAAGGTGATTATATAACTCTGGTCACTGATGACCTTAATATGACAATACCAGAGCATATGCCAAGAAAGTTAACAAATATCAGTGGATTGAAATCACTTATTTAGTTTAGGAAGAGAAAATCTGGAAGATAAAAAAAATCTAAAAAATATTTCAAAATTAAGATCAAATAAAGAAGAATCTGCCCTAACTAGTTTTGCTCGGTGGACCTCAGTTTGCCATAGGTTTGATTCCAGTCAAGGGTATGTACCTCAGTTACAGGCTAAATCCCATTGGATGCCTGCAAGAGACAACCAATTGATATCTCTCTCTCACATCGATGTTTCTCTCTCTCTTTCTCTCTTCCTTCCTCCTTCCTTCCTCCCCACTCCCTTGCACTCTCTAAAAAAAAAAAAAAATCAATGAAAAAAGTATCCTCTAATGAGTATTAACAAAACAAACAAATAGAGAAGAGTCTGTTTGATCTTGTTAGTCAATTTCCTTCTAAAATGGGACAGAGGTGCCCTGACTGGTTTGGCTCAATGGATGGAGCATTGGACTGCGGACTGAAGGATCCCAGGTTTGATTCAGGTCAGGGGCACATGCCCAGGTTTCGGGCTCACTCCCCAGTTGGGGGCCTGAAGGAGGCAGCCAATCAGTGGTTTTCTCTCATCATTGATGTTTCTGTCTCTCCCTCTCCTTTCCCCTCTGAAATCAATTAAACATATTTTAAAAAACAAATAAAATGGGACAGAGGTTTGAAAAGTTTGGACACTTATACTAAGAAAGTTATAAATAACATCATAAAAGACCATTCTTACAGGAATATAGCAGAAACCCCTATCTTATCTAACTCCCTTTGTATTTTCAAGTATATTACTTAAACCTAGCAAATTAACAAATCATTAAACTGTCAAAAAAGCTTTCTAGGTGCAGAGGTTAGATAGAGGAAGACATAAACAGATGGAAGAACATACCATGTTCATGGATTGATAAAAATCAACATCATTAAAAAGTCCATACTACCCAAAGCATTCTATAGATTTAATGAGGTATTAATGAGCAGTATCCTGTGTGTGCAGGCAGCTGGGGCTGTCCAGGTGCTGAGGCTTGCGCGCTGGGCTTCCCGAAGCCTGCTTACGCAGGCCAGATCAGGCCCAGTCCGCAGCCAAGGGCGAGGAAGATGAGGATCCTTACTGCCCCATTCAGTTTTCCAAAGGCAAGCTGTCCAGTCCCAAGCTGTCCAGTCCCATTCCTTGGGAAAGGAGTAGCAACGAACCTAGTGGAGGGTGTTGCCCTTAGCCTGTCCCTCAGGATTCTGCTCATTTGGTGCTTCATTAGGGAGGAGACCAGCACAGACCGCTGGTTCAAACAGGTATAGGAAGAAGAGCTGCCGGAGCCCAGCGATCCTTTGGAGGAACCTGGAACTCTAGCTGCCTATGGAGTGAGAACTTAAAGGGGTGCCTGCAGGACAGACAGCGAGGGACCAGGCAGTGGCCCTTAGGTTTGACATCGTGTTTTCATAGTTTCTGTCGTGGTTATGTGCATCCCCAGGCTGAAGGATTTGGACGGAGGAGAACCTGGCCACACTGACCCTCGGGGAAGGAGAGAGCAGAATGTCAACAGACGGGACCCTGTTCTTTGCCTGATACTTTGATGCCCAATGAATATGCACAAAAGTCTTTTTTTTAGATTCATATAAAAGGTTTTGGATTTGTGATTTTGTTAACATTACGTTTCCAAAGCAATTCTGGTGACACTTGTAATCCAGTGTAATCTAGTTTTCAGGTCTTTTGCTTTCTGAGACAGAATAACTAAGAAGAGTTAAAGTTTTTTATTTTATAATGTACTGTGTGGTATGTATAAATTGATGTCAGTTTTACAAACTAACAAATTTATAATAAATTTTAATTAGTTAACATAGGAAAAAAAAAAAAAAGCTCTCCAAGTTTAACTTTTTTTAACTTCACTTTCCATACCATTAGTAGTACTTTCCCAGAAAATGTTAATTGATGGCTTTGAGATAATAGTTTTTAAAACAAATAGGGCCTATCTTTTTTCTCTTTCTCTACCATTCACCAAAAGCTGCCATTTATACCATAAGAAGCAGATTTGTCAGTTTTCACATTCTTACCAAATTCCGCAACAATAGAGGCAAGGCCGCCATATACAAAGGGTTTCCAATTCAGACCAGACATCTCATGGCTTCCAGTGTCACTTTTCTGATACTAAAAATAAACATAAATCAGAACAAGGCACAAGAGTAAGGAGCATCTATCAGTGTCTGATCACATAAAACACATCAACAAATTTGGCAAATAAAACAGACATAGAGGAAAAACCCTACCAAATGGAATGACCAAAAAATGGGGATCCCGTTTTATATGGTAGATGATCATGAATGTGTTTACTGCCAAATATGGGCAAAGATCAATCTGTGCCCTTCATTCTCTAATTTCTTTAATTTTACCCCCATCCCCACCCCAAAAAAAGAGGTTCCAGGCCATCCAGCACACCCAACTTAGACATTCAGCTAGACAATTACTAGTGAAGGAACCTGAAGAACAAATTATATAGGCTGAGGCATCTCATAAAAGCAGTTCATGGTATTCAGTCACATTTATTCATGTGCAAAGTACAGCTGATACCACTACCTTCACATACTAGTATACTTAGCTCACACATTTCACCACTAAACTTTAGAGTTTTAGTTCATTAGCTCGTTCTAGCTATCCACAACTCTTCCCCCTGCATGCGCGCGCGCGCGCGCGCGCACACACACGCGCGCACACACACACACACACACACACACACACTCACACACACACTCACACACACACTCTAAGCCCAGGCTGAGTTAAACACCTTTTCACCTTCCTTCTGGTTCCCGAATGAATGACAGCAATATTGTATCTCTCTTCTCTGTGACATTTAACATCCAGTGAATCTTCTTTTCCATGACCTTTTAAAGCACATGCATATAAATGTTGTTTTTCTTTGAGTTCAGGTTCTTTAACAAGGTATTCTATTCCATCTCCTTTTCTTCCTTTCTCATCCCACACCCAGTAGACTTGTCATCTTCAATCATTTCAATTTTTTCCCTTGCCACCCTCAGCTATCTCTCTTGAATCTTTTATTTATAGTTCTGCCCTCTAGATCAGTGATTTTCAAATTTTAATGTGCACCAAAATCATCTAGAAGGTGGATTTAAAAATAGATTGTTGGGTCTCACCCTCAGGGTTTCTGATCGGTGGTCTGGGTCTGGACTATTTGAAAGCTTCCAAATAATGCTGATAATGCTGATGCTTCCACACGTTAAGAACTACTGCTCTTGGCATCACCTACTAAACCCTAGACCAGCTGAAAATAATCTCCTTTCTTAAGTTGGACTCTCCGGTTTCTTTAAATATTCCTTTTTCAGAGTTTCACAGATGTATATTATTGAGTTTCAAAAGCAACTTCAAGTAGTTTATGGTCAGGAATGAAGATTCTGAAATCAGACTGCCTAGGTTCAAATTCTGACAACACTACGTACTAGTTCTATGATCTTGGGCAAGTTATTTAACCACTCTATCCCTGGGTTTTCTGAACTATAAAATGGGGATAATAATAAATACTATATTATAGGGTTTTGTGAAAATTAAATAATATAATGTATAACACCTAGAAAAGCACTTGGTAGCTAGTTCAACAACTATTAGCTTTTATCATTACCTTTTGAAAAGTTAAGTACTCCAATATACTTAACAAGATATAATATTTTCACAGATACTACTTGCTGTCTACTCCCCCCATTTTCCAATCTGCGGTTAGCACTATTGATTTGCAGTCGCTTTTTAAGTGGAGGCAAGATTTTGCTTTGTTTCCACATAAGGAATTCTCTGTAACTAAGCACAGGACAATTTTCCAGAGAGGATAGTAAACTGCAGACAAATGTTTTAGTTAGAGATGACAAAATTAATTATAGAAATTTTCTTTCAAGCCTAGTGTGACCAGCCAGTTCATCTGACATAAGAGTCTCAAATAGACAGCTCTTTTGGAGGAAAGTTGTTGGAAAGCATTCTAAAGAGCAAAGAAGGAATAAGTACTTCATATAACTACAGCATAAAATCAGTCTTGGGTACTAAACGCTATCTTATCAATATTTTCAGCTTTGCCCACATTTTAATATTACAATTGTTAGCAAAGCGTGACACATACAGTGAGAGGGTAGGCACAGAAAAGCAAGAACCATGGCATATCTCCCTCTTTGAGTCTATGGGGGAAATGCCCTCTCCATTGACCAATTATAGACCCTAATACAGCCAAACGTTTCAAATGGCTGCTATGCTTCTCTCCAAAGTTTTATCTTCACAGATTCTTTGAATCTTCTCATTATAAGATAAAGCCTCTATCAGAATTTTACTACCTGCTATCTAGCCTTTTAATAAGGAAGATATGTTTAGGGTTCAGGGTTCAATAATAATTCAGTGAAAGGCAGGGGGCAGAACCAGAGCAGAGCAAAATGACCAGTCACTGAATCTTAGGTCAGTTGCTCAGTAGTTCCTTATTGAAGTTTTCACAATTCTGAGGTGAAATGAACAAAACAAGGGCAACTAGTGCTTTCTGTCAGTCCAATATATTTAATTAAAGGATTATTAGGAAATCATGTTCTTCCAGTACCTGGGACATTTTTTAACATCACTTCTCTTGTATGAGATAATAATAGTAGTTGGTAGTTAATTTTGCTTAATGCCGTAACAAAATAAGTCTGGCAACCCTAATTTGTGCCTCCTCCTCACACTTTCATTTAAATTTTATTGGTCTATGAAATCCAAAAGTCTGAGAACCACTGGCCAAATTAACAATGCTACCACTCCTACCTCCCCACTCCCATCTGATAGTAAAATCCCTTTTATTTTTCTAATGTTAAAAAAGAATCTTGCTATGAAGAAGTCCTGTATTATCTTTAATTAGGTCTTATTTTAGATATTTCTTCCTCCTACTGAGCCAAAAGTCTGCCTTCCTGTAGTTTTCAGCATTTTTGGAGATAATATTGGACAAATATACTCTTTTCCCCTAGGGAAGTCCTTCCAATAATAAAGACATATCTCTTCTACATCTTCTCTCTTTCAGGCTACATAACCACAACTATTTTCATTATTATACTTCAATTATTATAGCTGAAAATTTTAGTTGCTTTTGTGGGGGCCACATCACACTAATGAATCATTAAAATGTCAGCTCAAGCCTCCGATTCTTTTAAGGCTATTAACGAGAATGCATGCTATGTCATACCTATTCTACAGCTGTGCAATGTATTCTGAATCTTAATTTTTCCCTCCTATATCTTAATCTCAAGTATACAAATAATGGCTAGGATGAGACTGTTCTTCTAGTTGCCCATGTTATTTTTCTCTCTTAACTAGGTAAGATCCCTAAAGGCAGAAACCATGTCTCACAGCACTTTACATAACCCCTACAAAAGCTTGCACAGAATTGGGTACACATCCATTAAATACATGTTGGCTCCAGTGTGATGTGCTTTATCTATATATGCAGCCTATATGTAAAAGATTACAGGAAAAATCATGAAAATTAAATTGCTGGGCCTGACTAATACTACATACTGGGTATAGATCCTCAGAGATTCTCTGCCTATTAATTCTCTTCCCTTGCTTTTGTTGAAAAGAATTACTTGTGTAAAATACCCACAGCATCTAACAATGCTTTTGGCTTGTGGGGGCTATCCCCAGATATGGGTAAAAGAAGAAAAGTCATATCTGAGTTAAACTAAAAATAGAGTCCCTTATATATTTTTATTGTATAAAGAAACCAATGAAAAATGTCTTCAAAATGCACACATGAAAAAAATGCACACATGTATTCTGAAGTTTGATTAAGGAAAATATGATATACTAAAGAGTGAAAAGAATGTCCTAAAATACAAGTTACATAGCCCTGCACTACTCCAAAGATCTGATGAGAAAAATCTGTGTGCCTTTCTTGCTTTCTCTTTTAAGAAAGAGTAGGCATCCAATTCTTAGCTTCAGGAGGTAATAATGGAGAGTCAATCAAATATTTATTGAAGGGACATTAAATGCCCAAACCTGCAATGTGCTCTGGTCTAAATTTGGTGTGTTTTTTTTTTGTTTTGTTTTTGTTTTTTTGTGTGTTTTTTTTTTAAAAGAACAAATGTTCTGACACCATGAAAATATTTATCATTTAACCTATATTTCCTGGATAATCAAGGAGAATAAGGTGGTGATAAAAGTTCTATAAAACACAGTGCTTACCTTTCAATAATTTATAATCTGGTAGAAGAAATCAGAGTAGTTCATTAAAGAAAAGTTAAGTGCTAAACTATATAATACAAACTATAAGAGCAAGATAAGAATGGAAAAGGAGACAATCAGCATGGGCCTACATAATTTGAAAAGGCTGGTGGAAGTGAGAGAATTTAACATGGGCCTTGACACAAAGCAGGATAGGTATAAGTAAGGTAGAAGACAGGGGGAGAAGAGCAGGATGAACAGAGACACAAATGCGGGGGAAAGCACAGCACATGGAAGCAGGCATCAGCATGGTTTGCTCTGAGAAGAATGCAACCTAAATGGAAAAGAAAATTCCCTTACGTCAATGAAATAATATTAATCAAGAATTACAAGAAACAGGTCATGTTGAAAGACTTGAAATCAAAGTATGTGGTGGGGTATATGAGGGATACTGTAAAATTTTAAACAGGGAAGTAATTTGACGAAATCCACATTTTAGTTAGCCTACCAGGACTGCAGCAAAGTGATTACAAATGGGAGAGCCAGGGAAACTAGCTTAAGATGGTATGAAGTAAAGGAGACAAGGTATTTGCTGGCAGTGAGATTAGAGATAAATTCCTAAAATGGAGACACAAAGGAACTTGATGATATAGGGAAAGAAGATGAGAGAGGAGTTCATGGTAACTCTAAGCACTCCTAGCCTGGAAAAAAAACAAGAAAATACTAATAGCAAATTACAAATGTCCCTGCTATTACCTTGTCTGAGAATTTAATTCCTGTTGCTAAAGGCTGTCATCACAATTAAGTTATCTGAACTGCATTTTAATAGATGCCTTCAATGCCTTGACCTTAAGGAGTGGAAGGGGTAGAAATCGAAGGGGAGCAACTTTCAACAGCACCCCTCACACTAATACAATGGAGGTGTTTGCTTACTCCGCTTACAATCACGGCCGCCGTTGCAAACTTCACCCTTAGAAAAATTAGGATTATTCCAGGAAAGATACCCATTCACCCTCTGGGTAGCAGGATCTTGCCAGTTCCTCAGCTGTCAGAGCGAGTTCGTGAAGAGAAGGGAGGCGCCTGAAGGAGGCGGCCTCCCAGGGGGGTCGAGGAAGCAGGGTTCAATCGAAGAAGGAAAACCAACGATGCCAGAAGAGTGAAAGACAGGGAAGGGACTCAGCTGAGGGGAGAGAGAGACCAAAGGACCGTTAAGCCCCTCCCAGGCCGGGAACCAGGCCAGCCCGGCCCCGCGCGGCCTGGCGCGGCCCAGCCCCGCTCCCCAGCCTGGAAACCCAGGAGCTCCCCCTCACCTGCTCGGGTTCATCTGACGACTGGGAAGCCAAGGCTCCCACAGTCGGAAACGCCACTGCAGAGCCAACCCGGAAGCATTGAAACCAACGGAAGTAACCAAGCTGTTGCCCTGGTAACGGTGGCGCGGGCATCCCAACTCCGCCCCCTTCAATCCTTAAAAAAAAGGTGCAAAATGAGAGGCGAAAACAACAGGGGTCTTAATGGGGGAGGGGAGTCGACAGGCTGCAAGTGTAAAGGCCCAAAAGGGCAACCTGACTTTTGGGAGGGGTCGGGAAAGGGTAGGAAAGCCTGAGAAATCAGCAGCTTCTGCCGTCAGCACGCTTTTCCATGACAGCAGACATATTTCCTCTTCATCACATTGTTACCCACTTCCAGCGAAAGAGGCCCAGGAAAGGAGGGGGTTGGAAAAAAACCTCTGGCCCGCTAAGGGTTAGGCAAATGGCGGGGGGGGGGGGGGGGGGGGGGCGCATGCGGAGTGAAAGGGCAGGGCGCCTGCGCAAAGATCACAAAAAAGGAGGGAAAGTGAGGGAGCAGGACAAAGGGCTTAAAACCAGTGGGAAAATGAGGCAAAGGGGATGAATGGTATTTCACAAAATGCCTGAACTCCGGGGGAAAAAAGATCAAGTAAATAAACCTCAACACCCACTAGGGCCCAGGCATTCAGGACTGAAGAATTAGACGCAGGCATATGGTTGAGAAAGAGCAAGTTGCAAACAGAAGAGAACAGAAGAGAACGGTTTGGCTCAGTGGATAGAGAGACGGTCTGCGGACTGAGGGGTCCCAGGTTCAATTCTGGTCAGGAGCATGTACATTGGTTGCAGGCACATCCCTGGTGGGTGGTGTGCAGGAGGCAGCTGGTCGATGTTTCTCTCATCGATGTTTCTGGCTCTCTATCCCTCTTCAGAAACATCGATGAGAAAGAAACATCGACCAACATGATTTTCTTCCTCTCTGTAAAAAAATCAATAAAATATATTTTAATAAATAAATAAAAATGAAACTGTAATACACACCCACCAGCATGGCCAAAGTTAAAAGCACTGACAATACAAGGGGTTTGGTAGCATCTCATACACTGGGTGGGTATATTAGTTTTCTATTGCTATGTAAAAATCATTGCTATAAATTTATCAGCTTAAAACACCAGGTATTTACTGCCTCCAGTTTCTGCAGGTCAGGAATGCAAGCATGACTTAACTAGGTCTCAGAAGGATGCATTCTAGATGTCAGCCAGCCTATTTTTTCTTGGAACTGAACTGGGAAATAATTCACTCCAAGCTCACTCTGTTTTTGCAGAATTCACTTCCTTGCAGCTGCAACATGGAGAGCTTCAGTTTCTTGCTGGCTGTTGGCCAGAGGCCACTCTCAGCTCTTGAGGCTGTTCCCAGTTTCCTGCAACATGGGCCTCTCCATAGGCAGTTCCCTTGTTTCTTCCAGATTAGCAGGAGAGAAAGAATGCCTCATATGTAATTTTTTGTTTTGTTTTTTAAAAGTAATGCCTATTTGGGTTTTTTGTTTGTTTGTTTTTAAATATATTTTATTGATTTTTTTTTTTTTTTACAGAGAGGAGGGGAAAGAGATAGAAACATCAATGAGAGAGAAACATCGATCAGCTGCCTCCTGCACACCCCACACTGGGGATGTGCCCGCAACTAAGGTACATGCCCTTGACCAGAATCAAACCTGGAACCTTTCAGTCCACAGGCTGATGCTCTATCCTCTGAGCCAAACCAGTATTTGACTGATATCGGCTCAATGGTCATTTTCAGTAACAAAGATCCAGGTATCAGTATCAGGGCAGATTATTTTTAATTAGAAAATTTTAAGGTCTCATACCAGTGCAAAGATTCTACCTTACACACACACACACACACACACACACACACACACACACATATTCTACCTCACCTCAGTGGTAGAAGTAGAGGAAAATCCTAAGGAAAAGAGGAAGTATGTAATCTGATCTGAGGGATTCATGTATGTTTTCAAGAGTAACAGAGAGCCAACTCTTCACCCTTCCTATAACAATCAGTGGAAGAAATAGCCATCTGCCCAAATCCTGAGTTATGGTGACTCCTATGAGGAACTGACTGATGGAATTACTCTTATTTATTACAGCCTGTAATTTTTTATTTCATACTTTCTTCTCATCAGAAGGTTGAGGCTCCCGGGCATATTTCTACAACATACAACTAATAAAGTAGGCATTCAAACAATGGGGACAAAAATAAAATCTATAGACCACTTGACATTACAACAGAAAAAAATTGTATGCTATAATGCATCTTTGCATGTGTCATTTCTAATGATTTTAAGACATTTTATTATTCATACCAGTGGATTTTCTACAATAGCTGTCTACTTGAAACTAAAGAGAACAATATAATACAAAAACTTAGTTTAATAATAATCAAACATTTTCGTTCATGGCATGTCCATCATTGAATTAAAATCTAAGATCAGCCCTAGCCAATTTGGCTCAGTGGATAGAGCATCAGCCTATGGACTGAAGGGTCCAGGGTTTGATTCTGGTCAAGAGTATGTACTGCAGCTGCAGGCTCCTCCTTGTCCTGGGTCCTGGTCAGGGCTGGTGCAGGAGGCAACCAATCAATGTGTTCCTCTCACATCAATATTTCTCTCTGTCATTCCCTGTGTCTTTCACTCTCTCTAAAAATCAATAGAAAAATATCCTCAGATTTATGTGTGTGTGTGTGTGTGTGTGTGTGTGTGTGTGTGTGTGTGTGTGTATGGCCCGATGCACAAAATTTGTGCAAGGCCTGATGCACAAAATTCTCCTGGCTGCCAGCACAGGCTTCCCTTCGGTACTGGCTTCCCTCCCCTAGAGGCCTATACTAGAGGACTGGTGCATGAAAATTCATGCACTGAAGTGAGGGGTCCCCCAGGCTGGCCTGCCCTCTCTCACAGTCTGGGAGCCCTTAAAGGAAGGAGATGACCCGGTGATCAGGGAAAGGCAATGCCCTTATCACACCTCTGCTGCTGCCGCTGCCAGCAGTGCAAGCCTCAGCCATCCCTGTTTACCTGAGCCTTGGGCAACCCTGGGAGCTGGGAAGCTGCCATCCAAGGCTTTCCTGTGCCTTGGGCCAGCCCTGGATGGCTGGAGGACTGAGGGGACTGGGGAACTCCTGAGGCAGGCATGTGGAGCTGCTGGACCCACCTGGCGGAGGGCCTGGCCATACTGCACGCCTGCTGCCCCGGCAGGACTAAGGGGACTGGGTGCCGCTATCTTGTGGCTGCAGGTGCCACCATCTTTGAGGGCGTGTCGGTAAATTAGCATATTCCCTCCTTATTGGCTGTGGGCACCACCATCTTTGTGAGGGTGTGATGGTCAACTAGCGCATTTCCTCTTTATTAGATAGGATATGTTTATACACCAATATTCATAACAATATTATTCACAATAACACAAAATGGAAACACCCAAATATCCAACAACTGGTAAATAGCTATCAAAATGCAGTATGCCCACACATAAAGCCAAAAAAAAGAGAATAAAGTACTGCAGTGCTATCACATGGATGAACCTTTAAAACATTATGTTAGCCGAAACCGGTTTGGCTCAGTGGTAGAGCGTCGGTCTGCGGACTGAAAGGTCCCAGGTTCGATTCCGGTCAGGGGCATGTACGTTGGCTGCGGGCACAACCCCGGTAGGGGGTGTGCAAGAGGCAGCTGGTCGATGTTTCTCTCTCATCGACTTTTCTAGCTCTCTATCTCTCTCCCTTCTTCTCTGTAAAAAATCAATAAAAATATATTAAAAAAAAAAAAAAAAGAAAAGAAAACATTATGTTAAAGAAAGAAGCCAGTCCTAGCCAGTTTTGCTCAGTGGATAGAGTGTCGACCTGCTGATTAAGGGCACATGCCTGGATTGCGGGCTTGATCTCCAGTAGGGGGCATGCAGGAGGCAGCCAATCAATGATTCTCATTATTGATGTTTCTATCTCTTTATTCCTTCCTCTCTAAAATCAATAAAAAATTATTTTTTAAAAAAGTTATCACTGACAATCTCTAGAAAAAAAATAAAGAAAAGAAAAAGAATTTAGGCACAAAGTCCACATTTTTATAGTTATCTATAAGAGCCTAAGTGGGCCGAAACTGGTTTGGCTCAGTGGATAGAGCGTCATCTGCAGAATAAAAGGTCCCAGGTTCGATTCTGGTCAAGGGCATGTACATTGGTTGCGGGCACATCTCCGGTTGGGGGTGTGCAGGAGGCAGCTGGTCGATGTATCTCTCATAGGTGTTTCTGGCTCTCTATCCTTCTCCCTTCCGCTCTGTGAAAAGTCAATAAAAATATATTCTAAAAAAAAAAGCCTAAGCGGCCAAATGACTGAACTACCTGTTACAGGGCACTATGATGTGCACTGACCACCAGGGGGCAGAAGCTCAATGCAGGAGCTGCCTCCTGGTGGTCAGTGCACTCCCCCAGTGGGAAAGCCTCTCAGCTGACCCCATGGGATCCTCTCCCACCTCCATGACAGCACTCCTGAGTAGCAGGCATAGCAGGGCCGGTTTGAACTGGAGCAGAGGCTCAGGCTCCTCCTCAGCCACCTGCTGCTTTGCGGGCTACTACATCCCTCAGAGGATGTTGGACTGGCCTGCGGGGATCAGGCTAAAACCAGAAGTCCAACATCCCCTGAGGGGTCCTGGATCGTGAGAGGGCTCAGGTCAGGCTGAGGAACCTAACTGGTGAATGAACCCATGTATCAGGACTCCAGTATTTATATAAAATCTCAATCATAAGCAAATAGACAGAGGCAGCAAATGGATTATGGTTGATTAGTGCCGAGAGGTGTTAGTGTTAAGATGGCAATACTCACCCAAATTGACCTATGGATTGAATATAAGACCAGCTAAAATATCATGTGCTTATTTTTTTTGTTTGGCATGAATGTATGAACTGATCATAAAATTCATATGGACTTGCAAAGGTAAAACAAATTTGAAAAAGAAGAAAAATATAGGACTCCTATTTCTACATTTCAAAACATATGTTGCCAAGACTGGTTTGGCTCAGCCTATGGACTGAAAGGTTCCGGATTCTATTCCGGTCAAGGGCATGTACCTTGGTTGTGGGCACATCCCCGGTAGGGGGTGTGCAAGAGGCAGCTGATCGATGATTCTCTCTCATCGATGTTTCTAACTCTCTATCCTTCTCTCTTCCTCTCTGTAAAAAATCAATAAAATATATTTTTTAAAAATAGTAATCATCATAAAAAAACATACTGTAAAGCTACAGGTAATCAAAAGAATATGGTCCTACCATAAGGCTAGAAATATAGACAAGTGAAAAGAATGAGTGCAAAAGTAAGCCCATCCTATCTAATAAAAGGGTAATATGCAAATTAACCATCACTCCGTCACAAAGATGGCAGTGCCCATAGCCACAAGTTGATGGTACCCAGTCCCCTCGGCCCTGCTGGAGTCCCCCAGTCCTGAGGGGGTTGCCACTGAGAGCAGGCAGAGTGAGCAGTGTGGTGGAATGCTTGCTTCACCACCATGGCAATGAGGCAGGTGTTCCACCCTGGCTGTGGATGTGGAGTGTTTCGCCCTGGGCAGCATGCACACCAGTGGAGCAGCCAGAGCCATGGAGGGCCTGTAGGCCGCAGAGAGCCTCTGGGCAATGGGCACAGAGCGGCCAGGCCCCCAGAGAGCTACTGGAGCATGGATTCATTCACAGGGCTACTAGTACAACTATAATCAAATAATTTTTGACAAGAGTGCTACACCCTTTCAGTAGAGAAAGCAGGGATGCTTCTGGGACAAATGGATATCCACATACAAATAAGTGATTTTGTCCCCTATCTCATACTGGGTCAGAAGAGTAGTACACATAAGGAACTATTTGACATTGAAATTGAGACTCAAGAGAACTGTTGGTTAAAAAAGGAACTCACAACAGACTGATTCATTTGCCTCTCAGCATAACCATTATCGCTTGTCGCAGTTTAGGTTCTTACAAAGGTATTCTTGGATCACATGATTTGACACATCTAGAGAAAATAATCAACAGCATAAACTGATGAACAAAAACAGACCCAGAGAAAGAGAAGCAGCGATCAGACTCTCAAACCTCAGAGGGAAAGTAGGAGAGGGTGGGGGTAAGGGGAAGAGATCAACCAAAGGACTTGTGTGTATGCATATGGGCCTAGACAGTGGCCATGGACAACAGGGGTGTGGGGGCATATGTAGGAAGGGTGTTGGGATGGGAATGGGGGATAAGGACAATTATGTGAGACCATAATCAATAAAATAAATTAATTAATTTTAAAAAAGAAGCTAGGAAAATTCCTGGGCAAGTGGAATGGGGAAAGTGAGACAAGAAAATTAAACAAGGCCAAACACTTTGAACAATTTATAGCCAGCTAAGGAATTGCAAGACCTTATCTTCCTAGCCAAAGGACACTGAGAGCAAATGGTTTATACCTCTCTTCCCTAACCAGAAAATACATAGTTTAAATCACCCTGGTCAGGGAGTTAGAAGAAAGAGCTTCAATTAATGCCATTTGTGCCAGCTAAACCCAAGGATAAATGAAGTCAGGGGAAAAAATAACAAAAACATGACTAATGCTAGACAGATCCAAGATAAAAGTAAAACCGAAAAGCACACCAAAGAATAATCCCAAACTCCCCTATATGCTCATTTTGATGCATCAGCATATTAAAAACGTACCTGGAAAGCTAATGGAATATTCTACTAAAACCCTTCCCTAAGATTTTCACCCCACAGAAAAAAAAGTAAAACCCTCAAGACAAAGACCAGGTTCAGGCTTGCTCTAGAGCAGTGTTTCCCAAACTTTTGACATATGTGTACCCCTTCTATAATTTTTGTAACGCTGAATACCCCTCATACTCATGAGAATGTAGAATTAGGCGCAGCTAAGCACGGTGCAGTGCATATTCCCACCAAACTCCGGTGCAACGCGTACCCCCACCAAACTCTTCCCGTACCCGTGGGGGTACGC